GAATGCAAAACAATGAGTTATTTACAGAAAGTGTGTGAGAAAGTTTGCTACAAGAATGTCAACATCAGAAGGCTTAGAAAATCTTTAAAAACCAGGGTGACAACAGAGAATATTTTTTAAAAATTCTTTTTAAAGAGTAAGACTGTAGCAATGGTGGTAGTATCTCTGAGATAACAAATTATTACTAGAAGGGGCAAAACTGCAGCAGCAGGGTACAATGCTGAATTCCCCAGGTGTAGAAAATCCTTTCACCCTCTTTAGTCTGCAGTAGGAATAATTAAGTTTCTCCCTTGCTAAACTTTTTGTTTAGCAAGTCCCCTTGTGTCAGGCCTTTCTTGCAGCAGATAATGGCAGGTGCTGTGGTGGGGTGACAGAAAACTCATGCTGACTACAGACAGAAGGTGCCTGAGGAAGGTGACTCATGAAGGGTTTTGTTTGCACACACTTAGACCAAAGCAGGGATTTTTTTTTAACTGGTGGCTACCAAAGAGCAGCACATTCCCAGCCCTCACCAACACAGCTTGGTACCTTCAGCTGCCCAAAATCTAGAATTGGATCAGTTGTCCCTGACCCTCCTGCCAAGGAGCTCCTCTTTTGGGTGCCTGTTCTGCACAGACGTGTGCTGGAGAGGGAGTGAAAGCAAAGTGACTCCCCTTGTCGCAGACATCTTTTATGGAAAATCCTTTCCTTAGGATTTTTCCTCCTGAAAAGCTGAGAGGCCTCAGGAACAAAATGTAAACATTGATTATCTGCTGCTGTGGAATACAACAGGTGCATCTGTGATTGGCCCATGTTGGAATGTTTGTAATTAATCACAGCCCAGCTGGCTCAGACAGAGTCCAAGACAGCTGTCTTTATCATTCTTTCCTGTTCTATTCTTAGCTAGTCTTCTGATGAAATCCTTTCTTCTATTCTTTTAGTATAGTTTTAATATAATATATATGATAAAATAATGAATCAAGCCTTCTGAAACATGGAGTCAGATCCTTGTCTCTTCCCTCATCCAAGAACCCCTGTGAACACTGTCACAACCCCTGACACCTCAGTGCTGCAGAGATCCACATACCTGAACTCCTCTAAGGTTTTCCATCTTTGCAACAAGGATGATAAGCATTGGTCCCAACTCTGTTTCCGGACTACAAAGTAAATTTGGGCCAGTTTTCTTCACACAGAGAAACATGGAAATTAATAGGCATGAATGAGGAATCTTAAATTCTACATCATGGATTATTTTTGCATTGTTGAAGATAACATAAGAGCAGCCCATGGCTGTTTGCACACCTGGCTCATCCCACAATTATTTGCTCAAGAAGGGCTGAAGGTCTGGTACAGTCTGTGTAAGACACTGCAAAAGCTTCCAGTGGTTTCAGTGACTTCTAGTTGAAATTGCTTTGTTGATAGTCTTTGCTACTTTCCTCCAACAAAAAAAAGTCTTTTTTAATAAGGAGAATTATCTGTGTTTTTTCACTGTAGCTCTGCCTGTTTACCCTGTTACTTTACTTACACTGTATTCTTATCAATATTTAGTTTCTTCATATTTCCACTTAATTCCTCCAGGAATGATCTTTTGGGGCTAGTTTGCAGTTTGCTGGTATATTCCTTTCTCACCCAGCAAATCCAGCTGTTGCATTTCTTTTTCCCACTGCCTTATTCAGCCTTGCACCCTTTCCAGGTTTTCCTCCTCCTTCTCCCCCTTCCTCCTCCTTCCATGCAGAGGAATGTTCTGTGCTGTGCCTTTTTTGTTCTCCCTTTCTGCTTTCCTCATTTCCTGTGGGATCTCAGGATTTGAGTCCTGGCATGCCGAGCCCCCGAGACCACCCTTGGGGGGCCCGGGAGTCCTGGAATGTTGCCAGAAGTGTCTGGTGGCAGGACTTTGACCCTACACGGGAGACGACACCTTTATGAAGATAAGAGGGCCTCACCGGGGTGAAGGGTGGAAAGATTAGCTAATTAGAGG